TTTTTGCAGGATTGCACCTCGATCCTCAGTGGTAACAGTCATGCTGTCATGAAGTTGACTGTCGGTGAAATGGTCCAAACTCCGTTTGTTTATATGTGTGTATAAGTGTGTACCGAACAGGTGTTCTCCTACTGGGCAGCAGAGTAAATTCACAGTGATATACAGTGTCTCATCTGCTCAGACTTCAGCTTGTCTTTTGCTGTGGTGTCATTTCAGTTTCATTTTTCAGGTTGCCCTCTGCTTTCCTCTTGAGTTTTTTGTTGTTGCAAATTTTGCTCTTAGGAGCTGGCTTATGAGATGAAAATGGTGACCAGTAAACTACTACATTTACTGGGAGCTCCCAGCTGTAAATACGAGGAATTGCATGAGTGGGATTATAAAAAAAAACGTGTGCTTAGTCAAACATAAGTTGATAAGTGTTATCCCCAACTGTAGGTTGGAACATTCATATGAGCCTGGGGAACAGCCGTGGTAAATATGGGCTGGACAAAGACACATTATTATCAGATGTGTTGCTCTGAATTGTATATAAGGAGATGCCTTCCTCTGTCCCAACAGGCTTCAATCTTCTCACTGAAGAAGGTAGGAGCTCTGAAACATCTTCTTTAACTTTCTTTAAGGATTTCTACAGATACTATAATTAATGAAATACTGGTTTATAACATTTGCAGGTTAAAAGCTTGGAAGTAATTTCCAAGCCCTGAATTCTAAATTGTTTATTATAATGATACAAAGTGGAAATTGCTTGAATCCTTATATTCTGCAGGACATCTAAACATTTTAAGTTTTTATTCTTTTATTTTATGTCACTCTTATCCAGAATATTTACTACCTTTGATGCATGACACCTTCTTTTTGAATTTAACAGTTTCAAACTTTTACATTATTCATATGTTGCATGTTCATTACAGTCCTTCACTGCTGGAAATATGAGGCACCTGATCTTGGTTGCTGCGATCCTCCGTCTGAGTATCACAACTGACAAAGATATTAATGGAGTAGAGGTTTGTTTCACTTTCTTTGCTTTATTCATTTTACCATCGAATGTTTATTATCATCATTTTATTCCCATTGTTTTTGGTCAGTTTGATTGTGGTGTTTTTATGTGGTGCAGTATTTTTTAGTAAACATTAAGTTGGTCACATGTATCTCCTCTGTTTCCATTTCTTTCATTCACAGATGAAGTTTGGTGATATCATTTCTTTCCCACCTGTGTGTGAGGGAAAACTTGTCTACAAGCATTTTGCTGTTTATGTGGGCAACACAAATATTAAAGGAAAACAAGCAAATCAAAACATATTTCACCGCCTTAGTACGTGTACTTACTACTTACTACTACAAATATACAATACAGTGAAAAGCAACAATAAAACTCCATCATCTAACAGTTGAGCGAGAAAGTAGATTACCATAAGTTAGCATGTCTGTTGTTTGTTTGCTGATAGTCCAGAAACTAAAGTTGCTTTAAGAAAGTTGCAGGGTAGGAATATCCCAGTTATATTTCAGTTCCGTAAAGAGAGCGAGGGGAGTGGCAAGAGTGATTTTGTCCAATACTTTGGTTTATGTCTAAATACCTGCAGAACCAATAATATTCCCAGCAATGCCAGCAGAACTTTGTGTTTAGTGCTTATTAGCAAATGTTAGCATGCTAACATGCTTAACATGGAGAATGTTTTAAATATCAGCATGTTGACATTGTGAACATCTTAGCATGCTGCATTAGACTTAAATCACTATTGTGCCTATGTATGGCATCACAGAGCTGCTAGCATGGCTTCACACTCCTGTCTTGTTTTTAAGAATAGAGCAAATAAAGAACAATTGTGAATGTTTACATATAGTAACTCTAACTGTTTATTCTCTGCTCATAGAAAATCCAAGTCTGAAGCCAACCTGTGTTTTTGATACACTCAAAATAAACGATGAGCCAGAAGTGAACAATTACCTCGATGGATTCAAGGATGACAAAGGAAAGGAATACAAGAAAGGCACTGATGAAGAAATGAAAGCCCGCATCTTACAAAGATATAAGAAATGTAAATTATATCTTCTTCTTCATAACAACTGTGAGCACCTTGCTACCTATGTGCGTTATGGAGTGAAGGTATCACTGCAGGTAAGTGGCTGATTCAACAGTAAAACCTAACATCATTTTTGCTACTTCCTTGTCTTTTCACTACAGCATGATACCCAAACCTTTAAGCAGTGGTTCCTGACCTTTTCCAACTCATGGCCCACTTGAAAACTCAAAACTGTTGGTGACCCACATCCGAACATGTAACAATACATATAAAGGCCAAATAATGCCTTCACAGAGCATTTTTTATTTGAAGGGGGAGAGATCACTGGTTTATTCACCATCTGTCTCTTGACTCTCTTTCCTTTCAATGTTGCTAACCAGCTATCCATTTTGATGCCATGGATGTAATCTTTTAGTACACAATCAGATACGATGTGGTCCAGCTGGTGACAACCTAAAATGACCTGTCATTGTTTTTCAACATTTTTAATTTAATTATTTATCATTTTAATTTTTACATCTTTACATCAATGCCTTAAAGGAATAGTTTGACATTTTGACACCAATACAGTGATCTAACCACACATAGATTGCAAACAAATGATGTTGCCCTTTTTGGCACAATAATCATTTCAGTAGCAACAAGTAATATAAAATTACCTGGGGGACTACAATTCAGTGGCAATGTTGATGTACAGTGTGTTCTGCACTTGTGTTTTACTGGTCTCAGGCTTATGATAAAGGACTTTTGTTAAAGGCTAATAAAAACAAAATATTAAATACACAATATATATATGTTTTAAATGTACCACTCCTGTCCAGACACACTGAACATACTGTTGTTCCAAAGCTTTTTCCAAAGATTACTGTAGGTTTTCTTACTTCTGGGACAGACCTCAGAAGTTGTGCTTTCTCCATATGATGTACACTGAATTTAATACTGCCTGCTATTTATTGCCTCTATGTTCTGCAATAATAATGTACTTACTTGTCCATAAGGCTTCGATGAATAATAATAATAATCACTTTTGTTATTCTTTACAGTTCAACATGACTGGTGAGAAATTCTGCATAATGCCCAAGGCTAAAAAGATGGTGGAGTACGTAAGGAATACTACATCGTGCCCCTTATCACCCAACGGTTACGGCGACTAAGAAGTATTTTGTAAAGCCTCTCGGCTCGTCTTGCTCTCTTATGCTGTTTGCTTATGTGCTATGAACATTTGAAATTAAAAACAATCAGCAAGTGCTGTGGTTTTTTCATTGTCTCTGTTGGTGTAAAAACCTACACCGCCTCAAGAAACAGAATTTTAGCATTGCTTGACCACCAAAACTATTTTGACATCAATGATTTACATCAGAAATGTGGAACGACTCATCAAGCAGTCAGCCTTTTCATACTGCGTAGACAGGATGATAACATGCAGCCAGAGTTTCAAAGTACATCACAGCAAATATAACAGTAATAAATAAAGCAATACACCTGACCACCCTGAAGGGTGTTAAGGAGGAGTTAAATGTACATATAAATTTAGCAACATTCACATACTTTTTATCTGACCAAAACTTGAGACATTTGTACTCATATAATCCTATACTTTCATGATGCAAAATGAATTGCAGTGAGCAAGCAGGAGAGGCTTTAGTGTCTTGCCCCGGGACACTTGGACTGTATAAACAGAACCTGTATAACAAACATTACACACTGGAATACTCCAAGAAACAAGTATTAATATTTATTGTATCAGCTGCAGTCATGCTATATGACAAGTGACATTTATAACATTTAAAACCAGAGCTCTGGCATGAATAATGAAGTTTCTTTATGTTTCTCATCTTCTCAAGTGGCAAAAACTAAAGCCTTGAAGAGGACGAGTGTGAATGAGTGAAGGGCAGGATGAGTCTCGTGACCAGCTTGCAGTAGGGAAGTAGAGGTGGAATGCATTGCAAGTGAAGTCAATATTAAAGCATAAAAAAGCTCTATTGTCTGAAAATAAATAACAGCAGCATCTCTGAGCTCTGAGCCACACGTCACGTGATGGGAGCGAGCGAGTTTCCTTCATGTGACTCAAGGACTCATAAGACTGAGTTCCTGTACATTTTACATTTCCACCACTCCTTACATTCCTGGTTTACTGTATGATAGGTTTGTATGAGCAGTACAGGATTACTGATAACATTAGTCCACAACTACAACAGACACCAAACCAATACAAACAGTAGAGCTGGGTAGGTCAGTTTAACTGGTAGATCCACACATGTGAGGTACTCTTTAATAAAGGAATTGTTATTTGTATGAACAACATTTTTCGACAATGCATTAAAAAATCATTTTTTACGTTACATTTTAATTTATACTGAACTCCTAGATTTTTCATTTAAACAACTGTTTTTAAGTGAGATCATTTGCCTGGGAGAGATAATTTTCTAAAACCATCAATATCATGGGATGAGGCCGTTAAGGTACCAAGGTTTTATCGACAAACTGATAAGCAGTTAAAAACAAAACAGTGAATGTTGGATTCCTTTAGTCTCATTTTGTTCTGACACATTGGGGAAGAACAAGCTCAATATTAGAACACTCGTCAGGTGTGGAACTCCCACCACAGTGTAGTCTGCTTCACCGTCACCATCCTCATCAGCAAGTGCGTGTTGACAGTAACTTACTCCACAGGCCGGTGCCCTTGGCCTCCTCCATCTTCCTCAGGGTCTCGTCCCACTGGGTGAACTGCTTGGACAGCAGGAACATCTGCCAATCAGATTTTCAAGGGTCAGTGGGTGGAGTTTTCTCAGTTATTCTTATAAAGAGTTTCAGAACAGAGAAGAGCCAGACTGGTTCACAGCGGCCTCTTATATCCCCAAAAAGAGTACAACAATAAATTTGTAAATGACATGAAATCCAGTATTCCAATAGTTCTTTAACAGTTTGTGTATTATTATTTGACTTGTGGTAATAGAAGTGTACCATTTTGTGTATTCTTCAAAAAGCTTCTGACTTCCAGGGAATGAACTCGGTTTGGTCCTGTAAATAAACACGGAAAACAAAAGATGGAAAAAGGAGAGAGAGAGAGAGAGAGATAGAGAGAGAGAGAGAGAGAGAGAGAGAGAGACAAAGAGGCAGACGGAGAGAGGGCGAGGAAGAGGGAGGTTACCTGCTCTTTGATGTGGATCTGTGACAGCCGCTGCAACTTGGTAGCATGTTCTGGTACGTCTGTGAACAGCAGAAACACATGAGTACTGTAGTGTTTCCCCTCTATTCATCCAGCACCAACATAACAACACTGCATAACATCACTGAATAAAAAGGCTGGGAATTACATTCATTTTCTCACTAAAGCGTGATACAATATTGCCATGATGTTTAGATCTGAGAGTTTGACCACCGCTGAACACTGAACCACCAGATGCAGAACAGGGACTGGATGGAAATCGCATCCATAGAACTGGTATTAACAGCATCTCAGTTGTTTAGTAGATAAAAAGTATTAGTAGTCGCTGATGAATAACATTCACTAATTACTAACATTCAATTCCTAAGATGAACTGAGTTAAATTTGCTCAACAAAATTTCATTCAGAAGAGCTCCATCCTCTTTTAGTGCTTACCCTTTGCAAATTTCATACTTTTACATAAATAAACCTTTTAGCTTTTAGGGATCTCAAGCTTTCCAACTAGGAAAGGAACATGTCACTGAATAATAAATCTGTTACTTTATTAGACACCTGAGTGAATATGCTCCTCTCTGACTTTGCTGTCAGGGGTAAAATCACAGCAGATTTCCCTCTGTCCTTGATTTGCATGGTGTCCTGCCAGGTGAAACTCACCTCTGATGTAGGTGCTGTCCAACAGCGGCTGCAGGCCGTTGACCTGCTCCAGCAAAACAGCCTGGGAGAACAGAAAGTCCTCCTCTGTGCACAAACACACACAGCATCACAGTGAGGACTGAATCAGATGTGAATGTTGTTAGGTCTTTGACAAAACTGCTGTTAACTTATATATTAAACAATATGCCAACACTGACAACTTTAGATGTATAGCATTAAACATTAACTACTATTTAGCCGCATATACAATAAATCCATTATAAAAGTTAACAAAAACAATCCCTCTGATTCCTCCTGCTTCTTACCAGCGAGGATGAACTCCAGCTTCATAGCGTCAGGTACAGTGATGTGGTCGGTGAACTGGGGGTCCAGGTACTTCAGAAGGTCCTCAACTGCACCACAGCAACAATAAACACGATCAAAGACTCACCAAACACGGTCTTAAATCTGACTACAGAAAACTTTTCTCATGTCCTTAAACAAGACGTGAATAACTGTATCATTTTGAAGTAAGAGTAACTTGATTAAATAATATATATAGTCACAGCAGGTCTGTAATCAAGGTTGACTGGGCAGATGCAATACAACGTGTGACTCACTCTTCTTGTGCAGGATCTTTACTCGTTCTCTCTTGTTGGCCATGTTGGTCAGACCTGCCTGGATCCTGGCCAAAGGCTCTGCACACTGCAGGACAGAGGACAATGATTTGATTTAATATCAGTGAATACCAAGGATACTAAAAGGTGTCTGAGTAGCCTTTTTGTGCAATATATGCTATTATGCCTAACATAGTAGAAAAACACAAGTTCATGTGGCAGAGGAATTACAGTTTGTAGTAACACAATTTGAACTTTCCCCTTTGATTTACACCCTGTTATCCCCTTGTGAATGCTCAAAGGAACATGGGAATTTGCTGTATGCAGGATAAACATGACAAACATTTGATTATGCATACTTGCACATCTGTATTTTTGGTCTCATTCTGAGTACAACTGGATTGAACGTGCTTTTTAGTTTAAAAAAAAAAAAAAAAAAATCATGCTTGTCATTTCAACTTCAACCAGCTTGCAGAAACATAAAAACACTACATAAGTAGGACATTGTGGCACATCGTGCCATTCCCGGGAATACAAATACCACACAGCAAATCCACTTCAATGCTCCTTTGTAAGCTAAAAGTGTTTCTCATCATATGACACTTTGATGATACGCCCCACTCAGTGGTTTAGGAGGACCACAAAATCTTCTTAGCTAATCTGCAACAAAATATGCACATTGACTATTATTAAAGCAGAGTTGCAGGTTGATGAATGTTTTTTCCCCCAAATTCCTGGAAACAAGCGAATTTAGGTAATTTCAATGAGATGTAAAACTTGATTAAGGTGTTAAAAAATCATAGTAAACATCGTCTTTATGTTCAGTAGAGACTATGCCATCCACCGCATTTTTCAGTTATTCACTTATTCGTTCTGCCTGTAAAATATCTCAAGTATGTAAAAACAAGTTCCCAAAACCCTCTTTAATTTTTAACTTGATTTCTAACTTTTGTATGACTACATAAATATTCGGCAGCAACATCAAACATAATTTGATTTGAAGTAAATGAGCTAACACATTTGGATTTCAGCATTGTTGATTACTGGGAGGCTAAAACACACAATGACACCGCTTGTTATAACTGACATCTGCTGTAAATAGGTGATCCAGCGACTGTTTAGCTGGCAAATATCGTGTTTCAGTTTTTAATCGTCTTACAGTTGTCACAGTTTCTACTAAATTATATCGAGTAGTCGCCTTAGAGCTAATGTGCATAACATAAAAAGGGCGTTCACTTATTCCCAGTGATAGAGCTATCGTTAGCTCTGCTAGGCTGGCAGCTAGCTAGTTTCTTTATAAGCGCCCTCTCTCGTCAAAAATTAGCATTATTCTGGCGAACCTTGACGGGTTTTCCACTTTTGTTTCTTCTCTCGCCGTATATACGACTCTCCAGCGCCTGAAGACGCATTTCCAGGTTGTCTGTCTCCAGTTTCTGCTCCATTCTTGACTCTGCTAATGAAAACAACAGAAGCTAAACAGCCTCCTCGTAGACGTAATTTCCAAGAGGCGGCGTCGCGTATGATGACGCGTCAGCAATCGGTTTAGAAATACGCTTATTTTTTGTGAAAAAAATACAATATTATATTATTATGTAAATTATAGACATATGTTTTTAAACTAAATGTTGTCATTGATAAATACGTCTCAATAATTTGTTCAAAAATTGCCTGTTTAAACATGTTTCTCGTGCCGTCGCTAGGGGTCGCTGTTTTGCGGTGGACGGGATTTTCAGCTGTTTTTCCGGTGACAGCCGGGGAATGACAGCATCGACAGTCACGGCCCTTCTTCCATCCAAGCTGACTGCAAAACATCGACAGAAAGTAAGGTTTTCCTCCCATATCACCGTCTCTTCCTCGCACACAGACAGTTACTGTTTGTGGACAATAATGACCATACACAGGAAGCAAGGGCAGTTGTTTATTGTCAACAGTTCTTTGCTATGTTTCCACTAGCTAAGTTAGCTTACCTAGCCCTCAAGCTAGCTCAGGTTTTGCTTTACAGCTGCGTAGTTTGACCGGTTTGGAGTTAGTTTTAAAGTCGAGCAGGTGAGTCACTACCTTCTACTGGACTATAACTTAGTAATAACTCCCCTAATGAATTGATAGGCATAGCTAGCTTACCTAAGATGAATTACTTCAAGGGGGTACTAGTTTATGTTGCACTGCCTATTTCATTGTGTTCATGTGTGGCTGAAAGTTTCCTTAATGCTTGCCTGTTTGCTCTGCTGTGTTGTTAACAACAGGAGGGTGTCTGCCTTTGGACTTCGGGTTCTGTGTTTGGGGAATTTGTTATTTATGTGCCACTGGGAGCAGAAGCAGCATGGCAGATGACAAGGACGTGTTGAGAGACGTGTGGTTCGGCCGGATCCCCACCTGTTTCACTTTGAACCAGGATGAGGTTACTGAGAGAGAGGCCGAGCCCTACTATGTAAGTGCAGTTGCTCTCTGACTTCACATGACCTCAAAACCTGAAGCCAGACCAAGGCTAATAGACTAACCTCCGTGCTCCATGCTGTATCTTATATTCTTCATCAGCAGGGTGTATACAGCTGAAAACTTACTCCTACTGAGAAAGTATAATAGGTAAATAGATAGTCTTTGTTTTCTCTGAGGGAGATTTGTTTTTACAGTCATAACACATTCCCTAACAGATGTCCACACAGCTACATACATATATACAATACATGAAATAATACACTTGCATGTATCACAGATCACACTTATATGTATGAACTCAGGCATAAAACATGTTCAGATCTATACAACAATGTAAACAAGGCACTTTGTGTGTTTAGGGCTAAAACCGCAGAAAGGACAAAAGCTCCTGCTAAAGTGAGCTCTTCGCCATTTTAAAGTCCTGTATCACTGATCAGAAGGCTGTAATGCGAAACGTAGATAGAGGAGGTGATCAATGTCATTTGCTATCATGAATTCTAGGCATGTGATGGCTCTGATTTTCATGTCTGAGAGATTGGGTGTATGGAGGCAATATGCGTGATGCTGTTAAGTTTGTTTTTGTTGGAGATGGTTTACATGGTAAAGAGGGAGTGGTTGACTTATTAAACAATAACAGGAAGTGGGGGACCACAGATAGTGCTCTGAGTTTGTCTATGACTTTGGTGGGATTGTTTGTGAGTAATAAATTATACATAATAGAAATGTTCTTAATGATGTTCATTCATTTGTCACATTACTGCTTTCTGTGTACACTTTTTGTCAAGTCTGGGAGCTGCTCATTTTGATTAGAGGCTGGAAGAGAAAGGGGCTTTTCACCCATGAAATGTTGTTAGCTCTTGGTTACAACCCATACCCATAACCCCCTTGTGCTTAAAATCTCAAAACATGCTTTTGAATTTATACTCAATATAAAGAAGAAGTGTTGTCTCAAGTAAGGTTTATTCTAGTGCATTAAGAAGCACGCTCTGGTGGTTACACTGTAGCTTGTGTGCACTTTGAAAATGTAAAATACATGTTAGAGGCAAGGTAAATACCATGTGGAGACTGAAAGAAAGTTTGATTGGTCAGCTTGTGTTTTTTTATGGTGATGGAGACAACACAAAAGCAGTTGAAGAAAGGCTCAGTAATCTGCTCATTTTCAACAAAAACATTTGACAAAGCCAACTCCGCAAACCCTCTCAACCACAAAAATGTAAACACAATTCATCTGTTAGTGATTGCACAGCAGTAGTCTCTCTTTGTGTGGCGAGACAATGCAAACCTTATCCATCACTGATCCGTATCATTAGGTGAAACATGACAATGAACTTCTACGCTGGCGTCACCTATAATGTCAAGTATAATCCCACCTCTAATGATTAAATGTAGTGTTTTCATTCAGATTAAGTGCCTAATGAGAACAGGGTATGTACTGTAAATAACTTGCATGCCTCAGAGCCAATCTGCTGGTTTCACCTTGAAAGGATAGATGCATCAGTTGACCAACGTCCTGGCCTAGTACCTGTAATTGTTCTCATTTTAATGCGCTGTCATCTAGCCTGATGTTGAGGCGACCAATGACCATGAATCCTTCACAGATGCTGGATAAACGATATGATATGTTTCACATATTAGGGGCCTTTTCTCTCCTTGTTGTTCTTGCTTCGTCTTCCAGATCTGTGGATTTAGATCTGCACAGACACAGCCTTGAAAGTACATTCTGCTTATTTGTTAAGGTCATAAACGTTGCACACAATCTAAATTTAGTCCCAAACGCCAGTGCAGCACACAGTAACAGCCTGTAATGCTTTATAATGCGTCTCTTCCTCTCTCCTCCTGGCTCTCCCAGCTGCTGTTACCCAGGGTGAGCTACCTGACTCTGGTTACAGACAAGGTGAAAAAACACTTCCTCAAAGTGATGAAGGCCGAGGACGTGGAGGAGATGTGGTTCGAGTATGAAGGAACTCCACTTAAGTGGTGAGAAAACGATCATTGGATGAGCTGATTTTTTTAGATTCTGTCTGGGGAAACGAGGTTGAGTATGTGTGAGTGCACTGTGCGATGGTACACTGGTGGATTTTTAGATTTAATATCTTGTATCACTGATCACACCATTTTGTGTTTATATGCCAAATACATATTAAAATATGTATTTTTCTCCTCTTATCAGGAATATACATTTTTATTTTCCTGATAGCTCCTGAGAGAAATTTTCTCCAAAAGAATTCTTTTAGCTTTACCCAGCTGATCCCTCCTTCCCTTTAAAAACTGGCAGTAGATTACAACTATAGCTATCACCAGGAGGCAGGGTCGGTGTTGTGTGTTGTATTTGTGTAAAAATAAATGCCCGCTCCATTTCCCCAAACTGATTTGTTTCCCGGGACTTTGACTAATCTCTTCCTTGTTTGTGTACCTCATTGTACTGCTTCATGTAAACATCCACTTTCTCCAACAAATGCCTTTCACAGTCAGAACTATGAGAGTGTGTTTACACCACCCGCAACTCGAGAGAGAAGTTACTATGAGTCAATTCATTCACAGCCAACAGAGAAGCCTCAGCCGGCAGATGCAGGCACAAAGTTCAGCCACAAGGTGTCAGTATCGCAACAGACAATAAAGAGCCAACTTTACGATGGCATCAAAGTCCCAGTAATTCCACTAAAACTAGAACAGTAGAGAAAGTGATCAAATGTCAGTGTTGGTGTTTATTTCTTTGTAATCATGTGAAAATAGCAAAATGGTTGCCAACTTCAGACTCTCAAATGTGATGTTCTGTAAGGAAAAAAAAAAAAAGAAGTGAATTTCAAATTCATTGTAAATGCAAAAGTGTGAGTTTTTTGTGACATTATTTAGATTACAGATTTAATACAGTTTGGCTTGTTGCCCTCATGAGAACTAGAATCAATCAGAGACATTGCTCTTGTCATTAGTGTGTGTGATTGACCGTTAGAACGCCTTGAAAAATACACTCTTCTGATTTGAGGCTGTGATTGAGAAAAGCATCTAACCTCAACTGGCTGAAACATTGTGGATCCACCCCTTTATAAACACAGGAAGTGATAGATAGAAACGTTGGAGTGAAACGTAAACTGTTTCCTGAAGTTCACACACTGCAACCAGAGAAAGCTGAACTCAACAACATGAGAAGAAAATGAAAAACTGACACCAGTTCTGTTTGCTGCCACTCAGAATCACATTATAGGTTACAGTTGAAATGATCAATCACTTTAAGACCTTTTATTCAAACAAAAGTTTTGTTCAACCAGCCTAAAATACAGTCTGTTAGAATAAAAGGATAATGTTTTTACACTTATTAATAAGTTTAACATTTTCCTGCAGTGTTTGGGACTTTTAATGAACTTTTAATTCAGAGGTCACATGCTGTTGTCAGTCTGCAGCTGCTCAGTTTAAAGATTTTCTAGCCAGTAATGGGAGTAACACTAGTTTCCTGGTGATGGAAATATTAACCCACTGGGAACAGCAGCTATTTACACAAGTAACATTATTTCCTTTTTGCGTTTCATGGTTGCAGGCACTATCCAATCGGAGTTCTTTTTGACCTCCATGCCTCCAACACTGTCTTACCCTGGAGCATCACTGTGCACTTTAAGGTAAGAGCCAGTCAGTGTGTGTGTGTGTGTGTTTATATTTTATCCCTAAATTCTGTGCACGTTTTGTGTTGCTTTATTCTAAATACAACAAAGCCGCAGTTGTGAATATTTTTATATAAACAATGAAACAAATGATGCATGTAATTTAAAATGGGAGGAACCCTTGTGGAGCCTTTTAGCCTCTTAGAGTTCATTGATGTGCTTTTAATGGCACGTTCACTGTGTTTCATTCTCAGCATTAACACAGTTTCCTGCAGCAGCTGTTTTGAGCAAACGAGCTCCGATCAGTCCACTGCACCTATCTGCAGAGCACCAAACAGCAGACAGCCAAATTTTAGCAACTATCCGGTGAAGGAAGTGGAACATTTAGCAGCTAAACAGCCACAAAGTTTTCATGTGTAACCAGGAGTTTGTTTGATAATACGTTTGCCAGCTTGTTTTTTGAGTTCTTCTTCCCCTTAGAGGTAAAAAATAAGTAAATAAATAAATAAGTAAATAATGCAGCTTTAAATAAAATGTTGGTCCTGTGAATGTGTCAGAGTTTTCCAGATAGTGACCTGCTCCACTGCCCGTCCAACTCTGTGATCGAGGCTCACTTCATGTCCAGCATCAAGGAGGCCGACGCCCTCAAGCACAAGAGCCAAGTCGTTAACGACATGCAGAAGAAAGACCACAAGCAGCTGTGGATGGGCCTGCAGAACGGTGAGACGCACACATGACCACACACACCCACACACACACACACACACACACACACACACACACACAATTCAAAGAAAACAGACGACAAGCACCTGTTGGGGGAAGTGACACAATCATACAGTCACACGTTCTCATTAAGAATCAGATTTACACATGTTATCTCACTGCTTGTAGACCTGCATGCAGATTGACACATACTTACACACACACGCACACACACACACACACACACCCACCCACGCACGCACAAATCTCTTTGTAGTGTGATAGCGGTCTTTGAAGCCACCACTTCCACCACCTCTCTCACCTACACACCCACAAGGCAGGTTGATTTCCTGAGGGCCGTTGGTTTTGATTGTGGTGTTTTGTTTTGGTGAAGTTAGTGCGCTGGGGCTGATGCATTGTGGGAGAAGTCACTGGGGCCAATGGGATGGATTCCTAAGTCTGGGGGTTAGTGTGGAACTTTGAAAAGCAAAACCCAACACACGGCGTGAGATTCCTGAGATCACTGCAGGTCGAGTTGATCAAACGAGGCGACAATAAACACTTTGACCACCAGTCATGTAGCCTCCCCTCTGGGGCAGTCAGGTCACCTTGTCTTAAGCATCAGCCCTACTTCTTCTGAATTACTAATTATTAGCAGGCAATAACTTTCTTCTGTACCTGAATTTCCATAATATTCCCTGAAAAATGCAAAAATATGTATAATTTGAGTATGAAATTATGTTATAAATAGGTATGCAACTAATGTTTGTTTTCGTTATCAATTACTCTGTTCATCACCTTTTCAGTTTATCAGTGGTTTAGATAGATAGATAGATAGATAGATAGATAGGTAGATAGATAGATTGACTCACAGTCGAAAACTCAATATATTTGATCAAAATTGATATAAAATGGAAAAAAAACAGCTGGTACCTGCAAATATTTGATAGTTTTGCTTGCTTTAACAACTTAATGAGTATTTAATTTTGCCTGAAGTTGGCTTTAGCAAATATATCTCAATATATTGTCAGACACCGAAACCATTGAGATGCTAATGAACAGATACTGTTCATTAGTGCTAGGTAATGAGTTTGTCAGAGTGAACCTGCTCCTGCTTGATCATATCAGCAGTGTTTATGATTTCACTTCTTCAGTTAATGATGAGATATAAATCCTCAGATAATGTACATAGTACAGTACTATAATGTGCTGCTGAGTCTCAAATAAAGACGGAAAACAATATTTGTGCTATTAATATGTTAAAAACAAATTATTATGTTAATAACATAAATATTTCTCAATAAAGTCGACAGGAAAGTAAATTGATTATATCTTCTAAACTGTTGTGAGGCTTCAAATGTGAAACAGATGGAGAACAGCAGTGGCAGCACATTGTGCAAATTATTAATGCATTAAAGAAACACAACAATAAAACGCAATCATACCAACAATGGCCATTTTATGGGTATTATTGGCCTTTATTTGCGTGGTGCTTTATTGTCATGCAACTGTTAAAACTGTGCAATGTGCATGTGGCACTGAGGATGTTTTGAACAGGTTTACAGAAAAACCTGCAAAACTTGAGCTGCTTATCTCTCCTCCACTTTCCCATGAAAGTGATAGAAACAGAAAGAGAGGTGTCGCATTTTAACACAAGAAAGAAAGATAAAAAATCTTTCATTCAGCATACTGTTTTTAAAAAAGTGCAGGGTCTGATTGGTGCCGTTTTTCGCTGAAACTGCTTGTATCTACATTAAAACAGAAACAGAAGACACTTGATACTGAACTAATCCATATAGAAGGAGCTGGCCTTACCGGCCACACATGAAAGTGAGAGATGAAACCTCATCTGAACCAAAACTTTCACATCCAAAAGAGACCAGAAACAGAGAAACAGAGAAACAGAGATGGTTCAAACTTTCCTCCGGGAGAGAGAAAACAGAACATTTTCAGAAGCTTCGTGTGAAAGCGAGATGCAAAGGGGAGGTGGAGGGTTTGAAACCAACACATGCAGGGTGGAATCACCGTCCTTCAACCAGAAGGTTCAAGGTTGAAGCTGCAGTTGTTAGTAAGGATCTGGACTGCTAAAACTGCTGCTCACACATGCCGTCTTTTAAAGGTGTGTAACTCATTCACACGTTTGCACTTGTTAACTTCACTCTGTCATGGTGCCATATTATGAAATGTGGATATGAGACGCCCGAATTTGCCTCTGTAGCTTTATTGTTCTCAGTCCACACACCAGGGTGCTGCGGTGTGAATCAGAGCTGAGTGTCCTGTGGAATTTTTTGATACAATTGGCAATATGATACCCAGGTTTCAATAGTGATAACACAAGGTTATTCAGTTACTTTGAGAAATATAACCATATTTTTACAACTTCCTTTTTTTTCTATAAACATAAAAAAAGCATTAAAAGAATTCTCTAAAAGTGGAAATTTAAATGTAAATGATGAATCAAAGAATAAGAAAACAAGACTGCAAATATGTTTTGTACTCGGCAGTTTTCGATACTCAGCAACTGTGGACATTCATCAGTCCGTATGAAAATAGGTTTGAGGTTTGAGGTTTGAAACCCAGCCCCACTGTAACCAGGTCTTTGTTAACTGCTGCCTGCAGACCGAGTCCTCTAGCTTAGGTAGTTAGTCAGTAAAACAAAGACAATATAATGAAGATCACCACATTGAAAAGAAAGTAAAAGCCTCACATCAGATAAGCTCAATATTGCTCATCACTCGTTGCTAATCTTCTACTACTGTTGAGTATATGGAGAATCCAGATCCTGCATTCGACAGTATTAAAATGCAGCCGTGTCGAGGTAGTCAGATGGTTGAGCCTTAACTGTTACAGGAACATAATTGGCTCAAGAGTGATATTGTTTTGGTATTTATGTCCTTCATTGGATGTGTGGTGGAGAAAGATGTTTTATTAAATCAGCACGTCTTGGGATGTTTTATCATTTTTGACCTGAGTGTATTTGTGTTGTCGCAGATAAGTTTGACCAGTTCTGGGCCATGAACAGGAAGCTGATGGAATATCCCACGGAGGAGGGAGGCTTCAGATACATCCCCTTCAGGATATACCAGGTAACACAACTTTACACAACTATATTTTTCCCCTTTCAAAACGGCCTCTTAATGTCACTTTTAGTCTGAGCAGTTGATTTTGAGTTTTGAGAGTAGAGCCGAAGTCAGCCCAGTAGATGGAGCCAGACAGCCGTGTGAAAACCCTCCATGTTGCCCTGGTGTTGCTTTAACAGGGAAATCACCTCCAACCAGACACTGTGATAAATTAGTTGACTCCACAACCATGATTTGGTGTCTCATGCGCTAAAAAAAAAAAAAAAAATCCAGGTAATCATTTCTGTTCATCTTATGACCCACATTGGGTAAATCCTGCCTCCTCTTGGCACACACACACACACGCACACACACCTGCAGACAGCTTAAGTACCCATTACAACACCACCTCCACACCTGTCGGCATTTCATAATGTGCAACTGAAGAGTCTAAGACCTTCTCTTGACCTGTTGATCACTCAAAAAAACCAATAATACTCTTGTTTTATCTACGTTTGTAATCCAAAAAAACAACCAGCGGTGCATTCATGTCTGACATAACACCCGTATTCAAACAACATGAGTAAGTGTCTGAGAGCCAGTTCTCTTTCCTTTTTTTCCTCAGGTAATGCATATGTGTCTACACACAGTGACAGCCATATATTAACCTATCTTAATAACCACTCAAACCTGTTTCTCCGGTGCCATTCTTTTCATTTTTGCCTCATGTTTAAAAGATTAAGAAAAATATTACCTATGTATATTTGCATGTGAATGTCTCTAAATCAAGGGCCTGCTTTGCCTGAGTGCTTTTTTGTATTTTTTGGGGGGGAGGTTATTCATTTTTTCGTGTACATGTGATGTCTGTGACTGTGTTCACTTCCACTGAACCAAGAGTCGGTGGGCGAGCCTCAGGGTTCATTTTGAGATCAGGAGACGTAGCCAGACAAGTGGCCTCACGTCGGGTGTTTCCACCAATCCTGTCACAGATTTTATCCTGACTCAGGTGAAAATTCCCTTTGCAGCATAGAAAAAAGAAATAATCGAGGATGAATAAGAGGCTGATGCCTGCCTGGAAAACATTAGCACGCCGCAAGCCAGACAGTGGGGGGAAATGTACCATGCTTTGAGTCAAGTGTTTTGTGGGGTTCCAATGAAGATCAGGAAAGGCTGGAAAAGTGGGGAAAACTAATTTGACAACTGGCATGGTTCAGGGATTGCACAGAATGACTGAAGAAATTCATTTAATATAAAACTTGGCATTGTAATGGAATAATCTGAAGCAACAGTGTAATTAAATGTAATTTAAAATCCCTTCTAATCTTACTGGACACTGAAGAGTCTCGTCCAATCCAGTTAAGGAAATAAAGATTTGAAAAACATCTGGATCTTTGCAATAAAAAACATGTTGACAGTCTGCTTTGAGTCTAGTGGTTGAATGTGCATGCATTTAGCCTTGATCTCAAATCACAGCAAACAGAAAGGCCCCCTCGCTGTCACCGAGTCCTGTAAAGGAATTAAACTTTAGGGCCTGTCAAGTCATGTTAGGAAATATAATGTCAAGAAATCCGAACAGCAAACAGAACAGAAAATAAATCTGGCTTCAAGTGACTGAGAGGAGCGTGATGTTGTGAAACAGAAAGATTTGTAGATGTTCAGAACAGAACAGGACTTCAGGGTAATTGAACTTTCCTACCGAGCATATCTTTCCATAATCATATGTGCTGTGTCTGCTGGTAATTTCCCACTGTGATGATTTATTATTGAATGTGTAAAGTTTTTAATGAGACCTGCTGGTCTCCACATATGGCTGCATTTACATTTTGCACAACAGCGAGGGCGGAGGAACAGCTGTCCGTCACTGTCGACACTGGCTTTTGCATGAAATTCAAAAAGCTCATAAATGCTTTTGTTTTTACTTTCACATCTTCAGCGTGTAAATAAACCATTTTACACTTCAACAAAAGCATTCTTGTGTTTAGTAATAAAACATAACCCTTTAAAGTGGCGGACTGAAACACGCAGTCCAACCAGCACGAGCCGCCCTCTCAGACATGCACTTGTTGCAGCTGTAAAACCATGTAAGTGCTGGCGGGTAGAAAGAATCCCAGAGTGTTCTAGTTTTGAGTGTTTTTCATGGCTGAATTGAAAGTTTCCATGGTCATTTATGAGCTGGAGTTGGTTTCATGACAATTGAAGCATCAAAGCCTGTTACAACCCCACTGTGCGATTTCCAAACACATAAGACAGGCAGAGAGAGAGAGAGAGAGAGAAAATAAGCATAGTTCTTGAAAAGTCTGGATTGTTTTGGGGATGGGGTGGTTTTCATCTTACAAACTGCTAAATATTTACAGCCAAAAAAGGCCTGGAAAGTCTGGAGGAGAGTTGAAACTCATGCTCTGCTCATTATGATCTTAAAAATACCTGTAATGGTAGTTTTCTGTGGCACTTTGTAACTGCTTTCACCGTCCACAAGTGCCTTATAAGGGTTCACAGGAGTTTAGGATTTTGCACAAATGTTTGCAAAAAAAACTTTAAACATGTATGACTCAACGTTTTTGTGCTTAGGTGGATACAGAGTATTTTTAGCCTTGGCATCAGTAAAAAGATTATTCTGATTCATTTTGTTCTTGGGTCTTATTTTTGAAGCTCTTCCCATTGTGGGGTTTTGCCTGTTTGTTTACCACCTGTCTGATCGTTTCGCTGGTTGTGGTTGTTGTTTTTTTTGAGACGTCACGGCACACTCAGCCTTTAACTTAGTGCCTGCAGTCTTAATATTACTCATAGGAATGATGGCCAAAAAAACGCAGCCAGGTTGTAGTAAACGGGACTTAACCTTAACCTCAAAGATCTACACGTCAAATAAAAATACAAAAAACAAGCAGAACAACTAAAATCAAGCTTCTGTGAAAATGTTCAGGTTGTGCAGAGTTTATGTTGTTGCTAAGAAGAAAATCCAGTGTTTTGTTGAACAGAGTTGTTGTGACAAGACCCAACACGATACGACAAAACCCAGCGAGGACGCTCTGTGAGGAGGAAAAAAAGAAAGCAGACTGTGTAGAAGCGGTGCAGAAACCCTGAGAAGAACAAAGCCGTTTGAAACTAAGAAGTCACTGTGGATGATTTAACAGGAGACGGCCTAATACAGAGGAAAAGATCCCCCCTCCCACACAAACGCATAACACACACGCTCAGAGTCCTTCAAAGCCAGATTGTGGTCTTTAGTGTAAATAACATGTGCTGTGTTTGATGCAGACAGAATTAATGACAACACTCAGTCCAAATAACAGAGGGCTCATTTCCGTCTGGCCTGCGCTCCTTATGGAGACGAAGACACCTCATGGGCATGGACGACACGTTTGTGTGTGTGTGTGTGTGTGTGTGTGTGTGTGTGTGTGTGTGTGTGTGTGTGGGTGTGCGCGCGCACGTGTCTGCCTTATATCCTGAAGGTTAAAAATGGTTTGACCTCCTTTCTTGACATGCCATTTATCTTAGATATTTTTTTTATCCTTGGAACCTCAAATTGACAACTTTATTTTTATTTTATATATAATATTATATCTGTGAAGTTTTTCATATCATAGTGTACTTCCCCTTACATGTGCTCCTGTGTATGCGTTTGCATCTGCACACACATCTTTCTTTGCAAGCTCCTGTCGCCCGTTGCCTGTTTCATGAATTCATGTCTGGTTTTGTCATTTCAGTTGCTTCCTCTTGAGCCCTTTGTCTGTGTGTTATTGTGTGTGTTTTGCGCACTGGCCCGCCGCACCCTTGGCTCCGGCCAGCGGTGGTTGGCTCATTTGGCTGCCGGTGCATCACGACGACGACGCCGCTGCGGTGGTGTCGTCGCTCTGTGATTCAAAGAGCCTGAGGGAGCTGACCGTCTCGCTGTGCCGAAAGTGAAAATTACTATGCTTCCTTTTAAAGACTGCTTACACTGTCAATCTACAGGTACACCTCTCTGTTCCTGCTCTGTGACTCAGTGACTACTCACAAACCCCCGATGTAAGGGCAGGCAGTCCGCCCTCCACCCACCTCTGTGTTGTGGTGCTGTGGAAGCAGCCTGCTTTAAAGAATGCAGGTTTATTGCCTCCCAGATACCATGTAATGGCTGACTGAGACGAGGGGGAGGTGGTGACTACACAGACAATTACAAAAGATGGGAATGCTGGAAACAGTTTTGCGTAATCATGCCATGGGCAACAGGTGATGTGCTTGTTGTGCTCGGGAAGAACGTGTTGCCACATTTACAGTAATACTATCTAGTAGAAATATGACTGTCGGTTAAAGTCACTACATTGCCAAGAAGCTAAAAGGCTAACGAGCTTTAGGCTTTTATTGTGTGCTGTTGGCAAACGTAGATGGTACAGCTGTACATAATAATGCAGAGTGAGATGGAGGTTTAATCTGATGATTAATTCCATGTCTGAGGTTTGTTTGGGTGTTGCGTGAAAAATAAACTCCCCCAAGGTACAAAAAATTTAAAATACTTTCAATCTTAACTCCAGTGGTATCTAGTCATGCAGATAGTTCTTGGTGTTTAGTCAGTTTTGCCTCAGAGGTTGACGCCTCTACCCATACGTACTGGAGATGAATGGAGTTTGGTTTATGGGGCTCACAGCCTATAACAAAAATGATGAGTCAGTGTCCTCATTACCTTGATGATATGCAGAATACCCCGTCAACAAATTTCATAGACACTACAGTTTTTCCTCTCCACTGTCGCCGAGTGCTGCTCATTGTGGGAACCGTTGTGTTTCTCTCTCTCTAATATTCTAAGGTCTTGACCTTACTCCGTCAAGTGCCTTGAGATAATGTAGGTTGATGATTTGGCACTATGCAAATAGAAATCAAATTAAATGTTTTTGGTAGAAAGTAGTACTGAGCGTTGAGGTGGAGGCAGAAATCCCAAAACCTGGGCAGATAAAACTAAATAATGTACGTATGTTAATAGGAAAATCAGAAAATCATTAAACATCTGCAATGCATTGAAAGCAAACTGTTTCCACTGAACATCCTGATTAAGCTGACGTGCCAAAAACCCAAATTAGTGAGGATTCTGGTTTTAGGGAGACTGGACAAATGAAGTAACAAGCGACGATTCTGTTTAATAAGTTTTAAAAGAACAGGTGAATTAAGCAAATCCCCGTGCTAACCCAACGTGGCAGAGATATTCTGATCAGCACTGAGATATGGAGATGAATGGTGAAGTACCACAGGTCAACCTAGCATCGCACTGAATAGCGATGAATAATTTAGAATTCAATTCGTCGTCCCTTGATGGAGTTTCTCCTCCACAGGTGTGCATTTCAAGCTCTGAGAGAATGAGGACCGTTAAAAATGAGGTTGGAATTTTAATTTACGAATGGATGGTCTCAGAGTTCAGTGGAAATGCTTTCTCTGACCCCTCTCGATTCGCGGAAACTCCCGTTGATTGACAGTGCTGTACCCCTCCGTCCATTGTTTTACCATCAATTAGGCGGATTGAATCCCCTCCATCAATTAGCCGACGTCTTGAGTTCCGCTGCTCTTTTCACTCAGCGAGAGCGAGCCATCTCTTTTCACCTGAATCCTAATGACACCTCGCTCTCTTTGTGTCGCCATGTGCCGCTGTGCCAGCTAAGGTGTCACGCCACCTGAAAAGAAAAGTGTCTTCATCCAAGCAGTATCACCCTTCTCTCCCCAAAGGATCAATAGCCCCTTCTTTGTATGGTGACCGGCTCAATTATTCATGGCTCGCTATTTAAAAATGCAAAAAAGTAGCTGTCACTTAGCGCACTCTCTCTGCTCTGGCTCTCGGCGGTGATCCCGCACGAAACGCCGTGCTTCCTGTCAGTGACTCAGTGTTTCTGTGTAACCTGAGCGCTGGCTTCGCACCTCCACTGCCACCTTCCTCTTGCTTCTTCGCGCCTGGCTCTGTGGTGTGTAGTTACCGCTCAGCTACTCGATCCCTGCCCTCGCCGGTTTCCTTTTCACAGCCTCATGATTAGGCGCTATTGTGTGTCAGACTCTCCGCTTGACACCAGGTTGGGTATCTGCCTGCGCCATATCTCCCTCTGATGCCACAGTTTCTCTCATTGTTTTATGCTGGGTAGAGCAAGGCATTACTTGTCCTCGGAGTTTGAATCCCACTGAGCTCATTAATACTGATCACTGTTGATCACGAGCGTTGGGCCGATAATTCAGGCCTGTCTTTGTCTGGCTCTCAGTGGAATCGAATTGTAATGATATGATTAAATCAATTGATGATTTATTTGCGAAAAGAAAAACGACAAAATTCAGTTGTTAAATGAATGTAATTGTAATTAAGAATAACAATGGAACAGAGTTTTTATTGTGTTGAACATCAATTTGATTATTTTATGTTTTATGTTTTAACAATTTTGCAATATACACCCATATTGGAAAAATAATGTTATTAGGGCTACAACTAATGATTATTTCACTATTGATTAATGTAATGGTGATTATTTGAGTAATTTCTTGGCCTACAGAATGTCAGAAAATAAGAACAGATGCTTTTTGAGCCTTTGAATTTCCAGTGTGTCTGAACAAGAGATAAAAAACCCATATGGATTCAGTTTATAATGATATGAAAAAGAAAAATGTTGCAAATCCTGAAATGTTTTTTTTTTTGTTGTTGTTGCGAAATGATCAAGTATTGCAATTTATAATTTTTTTTAAATGAATTGTTTCAAAACCAGATGTTATTAATATTGTGATATTGATTTCAGCCATATCACCCAGCCCTAATCATGGCCCAATGAAAGTAAACGATCCTGGTTTTCACTCCAGTCAAACACCGGTATTCCATTTTCAGTCAAAGAAACACAACTAATTAGTCAAATTAGTTGATGAAATGTGCAAGATCTTGAGACACTATGGCACTAAGCTGAGATCTGCTGAAGTAAGCTGCTTGATTTACCAGATAGCGTACTTAAATCCCCACCTGACGGCAACCGCTGGACGATGTCCAGTGCCTGGCGCCTTCTCTCCTGCCCTGAGGACACGGGTCACTCGGTAACTAGAACCACTGAATTTTTAATTCAGCTCTGAAGTGATAGCGAGACTTTTGACATTTACAAAGAACGTACCTGCTGACAAACCACAATCACATCCAGGAAACTGGATTTACAGGAGGTTACAGCACAACATAAAGCATGTCAAAAAGATAAATCCAAGCGGGTATTACTTGCACGCTAGATATTGTGTAACGATTACTCCAGCAGGAGTGGAAGCCCTGACCCTAATATTGTGGAGTCGACTGTCAGATGGAGCTTTACACCCTGCCTACACAGAAGGTGTAGGGTGACACCAGTCTGTTCATAATGCAAGACCCTCTGTCCTCAGACCCTTGAGTCAAAGTCCATTACCAGCTCGGGACATAGTTTACTAGATTTTTGTCTGGTGTCTGCTGGTAATTTCCTCTCACTCATGAGATGTTGCGGCTGCATCACAGAACAGTCATGAGGATGTTTGCTGCGTACGTCACATTTGTTTAGCTGTCCCATCATGACTTGCTCAGTTTAGATTGAAGGCATTTAGTGGTCGCCGTTACACAAAGTGATTTGCATTGTGGTCAGCATTAGGATAGGATGTTAGATCACTACCATGATACGCAGCTGATTGTGAGGAGGTTCCAGGTCAGGGCTACATCATTGCGACAGCCTGACTCTGACTGACTGTGGAAGGTGTGGGTAAAAAAAGAAATGAGTGGAAGAGCGGATATGATTCATCTCTGCGATGCATTTTCCCAACAAGATCAAAGAGGTAGTTGAATTTGTCAGCTTTTCTTTTTTTTTTTTTTTTTTTTCCTTTTTTTCCCCAAAAGATGTATGTTGAGTTTCACAATGAAATGTAAAATGTTTTACTTACGGAACAGCATGGTGGCATAATAATCTGGGAAACCCTTGGGCAAGAAAAGCATCCACTTAGCTGAAGTGCCCTTGAGTAAAACTCTTCAACATCCCTGTCTCCATGACCTCCAACCTCAGTGTGGAGCCGTGAAAGGGGAAAAAGGGGGATTTCCTACTCAGGGAACAATGTTATATTATGATATACTCCACTATTCTCTCCATCGGAGAACCTCCAGCAGAGCCTGAGGAGTTTTAAGTCTGTGTAGAAGCTGACTTTTTCTGCCAAGTACATACTCAAGTAGAAGTTAATGACTTCCAGACTGATTCTGACCAGGAAAACATGTCGGCGTCACTTGTAACATCTGTCGAAATGTTGTGAATTGCAAAATATCACATTCTGAGCAGTCGGGCTCATCAAAGCAGCTCAGGTCAGCACACTGTTCATTCACAGGATTTGCGTGCGACTTGGTGTGGATTCTTTCCACTATCTTCATCCTGTGAACTCTGTTTACCACTTTGAAATTTCCCCTTATCTTACCGAACATGAAACCAGCCTATTTACAGGACATAAGGTTTGATTTTTCCAGCAATTCCATGAGCAAAATATTAAAATCCTGAATGGCATTTTCTATTACCTTAGATGGGAATTTCAGGGTGTTTTTGATTCACTTACTGATGAGAATTTTGAGTTTTCAGAACCCAACGTTGTTGTGTGGGATTGTGTGAAATCAGTTTGTAGCGCTGGACCCGCAGGTGGGTGTTTGAAAATACTCGGGCTGCTCCGTGTTATGAGGCTGATGGACGGTTATCAGAGGAGAACTTCCTATCACTACTAACTGAGCGGTGTAGATTTCTTCAGTAATACTGTCCTCATCAGAAAAAACATAAGCGTTGCAAATTATGACTGTCCTCTCTCAGGAGCAAAAGAAGAAGTAGCTGGACTTTGCCAAGTTAGGGAGGAGGTTGGGTTGAATGGACAGGAGCACAAAAATGTTTGGCTTTCACATCAGTCACCGCTTGAATGCGTCACGCCTCCTCTCAACGGTCTACTTTTTATGTCCTCGCACTGGTGTCAGCTGTGGCCGGACGCATCATGTTTCTCAGCTTGTACGTACGTCCGTCCGTCCGTCCCTCGTGAACACGACATTTCTTCAGATTTGGCAGGAACGTTCAATTGGACTCGAGGATTAGCTGACCAGATTTTGATGGGTCGAACGCCAAAGCCACTGTGACCTCAAGTCCCATTCTCGTGAATGCAATATATCAGGAATGCCTGAAGGGAATCTTGTTACATCTGGCAGGATGTAGGATGAACTGATAAAAATTAGGTTGTCAAAAGTCATGATCACTGTTACCTCATTGAACATGGTTTAATTATAAAGATACAAATAAGAATACACTTAATCCCTTTTATTCAATTCCTTCAAAATCACATATATTGTGAGTCTGGAGAGACATGGGTGTAAACTGCAATTTGACTCGTTGGCGAAGGCATAAAACGGTGAGGTGGTAACTCAACCAAAATCTCTCCCACAATCTTTCTCTTGCCTTAATAAAGTAGTTTTAGTTCCCTTAACCAAACTAAACTTTAATTATACGTGTATCTGACAGTGCTTAGATTTTCGTAAGGGTCGGATGTGTTTTGAAAGACACAGAAAATATCATCCAGAACTCTAATCCTGAACTTCATAAATGTTTTTTTTCCCATCCTGTTTTGTTTTCTTCATCATAGAGCATTGCAGATTGACAGGTTGTAAACACGAACTGCTGTACACAGTTTTGATGATTAAATCAGCTCTTTTTCAACTAACTTATAAGTTGGTCTGTTTGACAGATACTTTACGTCTTTAAATCCTCCTAATCGGCAATCATTCATTTGTTCTATTCAGTGCCCAAACTCTGCTTTACTACACGCTGGATGCTGATTGTTTGTATATGTGTTTGCTTTGCTTTTTAATTTGCCGTGCTCTAATTCATTACAGACGATGAGTGACAGGCCGTTCATCCAGAAACAGTTTCGCCCTGTTTCACCTGAAGGCAACGTACACACACTTGGCAGCTTGCTGAAAGAAATGTACCCGGCTGCCATACCGAGTGATGGTAAGTCTGCAGACACACACACACACACACACACACACACACACACACACACACTCTGTCTTTACTATTTTTTGATAGTGAACAACATTGAGTGATCACAGGCAATAATAATATTATTAATGTCGAGAATAAAAAGAAAAAGCCATTTAACACACACAAGCCTCAGTCGTGCCAAACATTACCAGCAGCTGACAGTATAAGAAGCACATTAGCGGCCATGTTTGGTTTTTTGGCTGCCTTATCAAACCTGGGCCCTGTCGTCTTCCAGGAGCGAGAGAAGAAAGAAGCACCTCTCCTCTCAGGTTTATTTTATTTACACAGCCACACGACGCATGTCAGAGATCCACTCTCTCAGATAATACACCCGCTGTGTGGGGGGGAGCTGGATGAGGGAAAATAGTGGCTATTGCCAGAACAAGTGAACAAAGACGTGGGAGGAGGAGAAGAGGTGATGGGGAGAGGAGATAAAGAGTGAGGAGACGTGAGGGAGGAGAAGAGAATGAGAGCAAATTGCAGATGTGATGTGAAGTCAGAGGTGAACAGTGCTGCAGTCTGAACAGGTAGATGGAGAATGTTTAGTTGCTTTAATAATAACTGAGGTCATTTACAGGAATACGTCCACGTCAAGTCAAAACTAGAACCACAATCATGTCTCATTCATATTCAGAGACAAGCAACAATCAGAGCTTGTGTCCTTCTAAATGTAAAACATGTGTTTTAGGGGTTTAAGGATGAGCAGAGGTCTTTGTACTTTATTATTTATGTCCAGGTTTTTTGCTGGATTTTTATTTTCCGTTTCAAATTCTTTTATTTTATTTATTTGTACTTAAAAAAAAAAACTGTTACCAGAAGCTTTAGGCTTATATTTAGGCTTATACAGCCTTCAACAAAAAAAACAAGTAAAACCTCTAACGAACCGATGCACAGTACACATTTTATTCCACAGACTATGATGCTGTGAAAGAATAAACACAGTTGGATCAGTGGGATAAATGATCAGACACAGAGAACAGAACATGAACAAATAGTTTTAGTTATGAAAAAAAAAATTATAAATTATGCAAAAATATCCCATATTAATGTGCAGCAGGAAACTACACACTGCCAAATATTGGTGGATTGATTGATAGATTGCTTTATTGGTAATGCATATGTAATAATGCATATATCCTTTTAATGTCTGTATGGGCTGAAGAGTTGCTGTATAAGCCCTCAGTGCACTCAGGGCGTACAGCTTAGCTGCTGCTGTGGCGGAGGTGTGGTGAAAGAAGAGATGAGAGGGGGGAGAGAGAGAGAGAGAGAGAGAGAGAGAGAGAGAGAGAGAGAGAGAGAGAGAGAGAGAGAGAGAGAGAGAGAGAGAGAGAGAGAGGACGAGCGGCAGTCTAAACAGGCGGTGTCTGCAGAGGAGGAGAGAGGAAGTAGATAAGGAGACAATAGTGTGTTAGGACAGAGGACCCGCAGGAGACTCACCTGCACAGAGGAGACAGAACCATCAGCAACCCCCCCTCCCCTCCTCCTCCTCCTCCTCCTCCTCCGTCTGCCTACCTGTCTGTCCAACATTCACTCTCATTTTGTCGCCATGGTGATGATGACTGTTTTAAGTCTCACACTCACTTTCATGTCATCCATTCGTTCTTTGGAGAAAAAAAATCTCAAAGTTCTTCACTGATTGTTTAGATGAATTCTGCTCAGGGTAAAACAGGAAGTGTTAGCTGTGTCCCACAGTACATTTTACACGCTGAATTTATTTGTGTACTTTTTTGCAGTTGGTATAAGAGAAGTGAAAATTAGTGTGTGGCTATATAATATTATTATGATGTTTAAATGTTATATATTCACTGTATATATGCCGAGGGACAACAGATGGAAACTAGCGTTGTGCTATATCTGGTGCAATACATTTATCCTACAGTGTCCCTGTTTTAAAATAAAGCAATAAATGAAATTTGGGGCCAGATAAGGACATCCCAACTAGAAACATACAGACAGCAGCTAAAGAGATGTGTCCTTCAGGTGTTGGTAGAGAAACACGACTCGACTATTTGCTGAAAAGTTTGAGATATCATCATAACCGCGGATGATATGTCGGTGCTGTGTTCACAATTAGTTTTCGCTGTCTCCAAGTTGACAAAAAAAGGTTGAAATGATTAAGTGATAACTAATCAATATGACCGAGTACTGGAGGGTTTCTACTGCTGGTTCCAGGTGGATGTAATATCTAGATACTCTAGAGTTTAGTGTGTGGCAGGCTCACCGGTGCCAGACTGTATCAGCTGTAACTACTGTAAATACCAATGCAATGTCCTCTGCTTAATGTGGGAAGGTCGAGGCCAACAGAGTGACGAGAACCTGCTGTTGTAGTGGTGTTTACATGTACAGACTATATTTCATTACAAAGAGTTTTCCTCCACGAGGAAATATCTGACTCTCTGGCTCTTTGGACTTTCTTGTCACGGTTGCACATTTGAAACCTTCTAAGTACATCTCTTTGTCTTTGGCCTCAGGCAGCGTGAAATCCAGCGTGCGTAGAGCCGCCAGGTACTAAAAGGTTATTTTGAGGGATTCTTAATTAGATTGTTTTCTGACACTAATCCTCTCCCAGTTGTTATAAATTAATCTAACTTGCGTTGTAGTTTTTTCTTTTTTGCTAATTTTACGGTTTGCTGGAAATCTGCGTGTCTGTTAGGTGCAGACAGAGATATCCTTTTCCTGTTTCTTTCTGTCCCCCCCCCCCCGATCTAAGACTATTTTCCTCCTCTTTGATCCTCTATCTCTCTCTCAGGTGTAGTCTTCTACATCTTCCCTGTCTGCCGTTGACGTCTTTCATGTCTTTGACGTTAAGTCTCTGCTTTTCTCTGCTCTCCTCCCTCCCAGTGGAGTCTGCCAGCCTGCCTGGCTGATCAAGGTGAAAGTGGCCCTTTTGTCTCTTGTCGTTTGTTTGGTTTCCACCTCTTCCTCGGCTTGTAGATGAGTCGGGTGATAGCCGGGGATTATGGCGGCGTGTTTGGATTAGAGAGACCGGGACGTGTGTTCAGGGACTGGGCGGGGCAGCGGTGGTTGGGAGGGGTGGGCGGGGGGGTTTGCTGGTAGTATTGTTCAAGAGTTCAGACGACTTTTTTTCTTTTCTGTCGGGTCCCTAACCTATAACAAAAAGAAAATCTGGGGTGCTCCACTTCTCTGATCTTTCAAACATCAAATAACAAGGTTTTTCAAACAGTCTCCCCCTCTGTTATGTCTGAGAGAGGATTGGTGCTGACCCCTGTGGGACCCAGAAACCAGTCGCAGCAAACAAATGGGGGTGGCTTCAGTTAAGAAGAAAAGGGGATTCCCAAATCATTGTGAAGGAATGACCAAAAAGTCTGTGTTTCCGTGATGCTGATGCCCCCCCCCCCCCAGTGCTGCGGGAAGCAAACCCAAAACAACATGTTGCTGTAAACGTCGGTCAGCACTGACATGTGTTCAATCTTTCCTGTGACTTTTTGAACCAGGTGTGTGATTGAGCAAGTTTTTTATTTTTTTTTGGCAAGAATTTGTCTTCGGTTTGCTGCACATATCACAGCCTGAAGGGTGACTCTGCCCACGCATGACATAAGTGTGTTGACAGACAGTTCTCATAAGGAAAGCTTCTTTCTTAACATTTATCGGAGGTGAGCCCATTTATGAAAAAACCCACATTGATTATTGTCTGTGATTAATCAGAGGAAACCCCCCACCCGTCTCAACCACACCCCCCCGCCCCACCCCGACCCCTCCCAACCCCCTTTTAGCAACAATCTACCACGATGAATACTCTGAGTGGTCTCCCCCGATCCTTTTCCCTCCTCCTCCCACGCTGCCGGCCCCCACCACCCCCACCCCTATCCCCCAGCCCCCGCCCCCACCCACCGCCCGATACGCAGTCACATCTGTGGTACAGCCACTCAGTATTGGCAGGCTCACCCTCACTGGCTGCATCGGGAGCCAATACAGCTTGTGCTCATCAAATGGATCGGCGCACTTCAGAGCCCGAAGGGGGGATGTGTAGGTTTCAGTGGCTGTTTTGATACAGCAGATAGCGGGTCATGGTTCATGTGCGCGGGCGTGTGAGATGTGTACCAGACAGGGGAATTCAGGATGCCTTGTTCTATGACTCGCTCTATTGTTGATTAAAATGTGGTCAGCTGAGATCTTCTGTTTTCTAATTCTGTCCGTACGGTTTTACTGTAAAAAGGCTGCAAAGGTTTTGGTGGAATTCGGGGAGAGATCTCAGCTTTTCTTTCTTTCACACTTACAAATGGAACATTTGGAAAAACATGTTTATATCCTCACAGACAGTTATATTATTATCTCGTAGTGTTGGAAATATTAGAAATGATTTTGGACTTTTACTAATAAAGTCCAAAATCAAGTGTGTCTCAGAGGATTTTATACCTCGGTTCAGAAAACCTACACAAACGATAGTAGGGCTTGTTTAGAACATCTTGATACTTACTGAAGTGATTCATAATGGTGTTTACCTATTCTTTGATCAAATAGTTAGTTTGAATCAAGAAATCACTTGACTGTTTCTTCTTCTTTGACAGCGAGAGTCAGGGCGGGAGACCTTATGTTTTCAGGTTGTCCCTCCGTCCGTCCGTCCGTCCGTCCGTCCGTCCGTCCAGAAGAACGTCCATTTGTCCCATTCTCGTGAAGGCGATTTCCCAGGAACAACCTTGAGGGAATTTCTTCAAATATGGTGCAAATGTAAAGGAACTTTTGAACCGATTAGAAATTTGGTGGGCAAAGGTCAAAAGTCGCGAAACATAAAATGATGAAGTGATGACATTTATATATCCAAATGGTAAAAGGTCAACTTCACCTCACCTCACATTATAAACACTTCTGATCATTATTCAGCTCTGTAACTCGGCAACAGAAGGAGAGATTGTGACCATATTTCCTCTAAGGCTGTAATTCTAGTTTATTTTAAGTTGCGTTTAGACAAACGTTAAAATGTAAGAATAAAATGTCAGAACTTTTCC